CATGCGCAAAATCACATATATATGCACAAACACACAGAGAGAAAGAAGGGTAGAGAAGGAAGGAAGGAGAGAAGGAAGGAGAGAAGGAGGGAAAGAAGAAGGGAAAGAAGGAGGGAAGGAGAGAAAGAAGGAAAGAAAGAAGGGTAGAGAAGGAAGGAAGGAGAGAAGGAGGGAGAGAAAGAGGGAGAGAAAAAGGGAAAGAAGAAGGGAAAGAAGGAGGGAAGGACAGAAAGAAGAAGAAAGAAAGAAAGAAAGGGTAGAGAAGGGAGGAAGGAGAGAAGGAGGGAGAGAAGGAGGGAAAGAAGAAGGGAAAGAAGGAGGGAAGGACAGAAAGAAGGAAAGAAAGAAGGGTAGAGAAGGAAGTAAGGAGAGAAGGAGGGAGAGAAAGAGGGAGAGAAAAAGGGAAAGAAGAAGGGAAAGAAGGAGGGAAGGACAGAAAGAAGGAAAGAAGGGTAGAGAAGGAAGGAAGGAGAGAAGGAGGGAGAGAAAGAGAGAAAGAAAGAGGGAAAGAAGAAGGGAAAGAAGGAGGGAAGGAGAGAAAGAAGGAAAGAAAGAAGGGTAGAGAAGTAAGGAAGGAGAGAAGGAGGGAGAGAAAGAGGAAAAGAAGGAGGGAAGGAGAGAAGGAAATAAAAAAGTGAAAGAGGGAAGGAAGGAGAGAAGGAACGAAAAAGAAAAAGCGGGAGGGAAGGAAGGAAAGAGACAAGGAAGGATGGAACCAAAGAGCAAAGGAAGCGAGAAAGAAACAGGTAGAGAAGGAAGAAAGAAGAAGGGAAGGAAAAAGAGGGAAGGAAGGAAAGAGGGAGGGAAGGAAGGAGAGAAAGAAAGAAGGAGAGAAAGAGGGAGAGAAGGTTGGCCACAGCAACGTGTGGCAGTTACAGCTAGTAAATGAATAAATAAAATTAATGGCGGCATCAGTAGGTTCAATGTTTTTGAATATTTACCGTATTTCAAAGAAAAACAGTAAACAAGCTCTGTAAGTGGAAAAGGGGGATCAACAAAAATACTATGGTATCAACAATAACTTAATAATAATAATAATAATAATAATAATAATAATAATAATAATAATCTATATAAATGAAAATGTAATGTTTGTTTGTGGGATTATCATAACTCAAAAGCCACTGGAGGAATTGCCACCAAATTTGGCCACAAGACACCTACTAACCCGAGGAGTGACCATCACTCAAAAATTTGATTTTGTTATTTGGGAGTTGTGGTTCCTGGGATTTATAGTTCACCTACCATCAAAGAGCATTCCGAACCTCAACAACAACGGAATTGAACCAAATATGGCACACAGTTCTCCAATGACCAACAGAAAATACTGGAAGTGTTTGGTAAGCAGTGTCGCTTGGTTTTGGAGTTGTAGTTCACCTACATCCAGAGATCACTGTGGACTCAAACAATGATGGATCTGGACCAAACTCTACACGAATACTCAATATGCTCAAATGTGAACACTGGTGGAGTTTGGGGAAAATAGAATCTTGACATTTGGGAGTTGTAGTTACTGGGATTTATAGTTCACCTACAATCAAAGAGCATTCTGAACCCCACCAATGACAAAATTGGGCCAAACGTCCCACACCGAATTCCCATGACCAACAGAAAATACTTAAGACCACCCAGTCCAGCTCCCTTCACCGGAGCAAAAAGCCATCCAGCCAGGCCCATAGCCAGGATTTTAATTATATATAATAATTTGACATATGCATTTCCCCCGAAACCTTTGCAAATCCTCTCTCTCTATATGTGCATTTCCCCTGCAATATTTGCGAGCCCTATATCTCTATAGTCATACATGTCTATATATATTTGTGTACTATATATGGTATAATATATTTATATCCCACTCTATCTCGCCGAGGGGACTCAAGGCCGATTACAGAACACATATACGGCAAACATTCAATGCCGTCATACAATTAACAAGGACAGACAGTAATATAAACAGAGGTAAAGGCTTTCCCATCTTTTTCCATCTCCAGCATCTGGAGGCTGTGCTTGACTCCAGCCACAGGGGGTGCTGTTGCTCCATCTTCCATGCTGAGGAGTTTTGTTGGCCGTAGACGTCCTCCTGATCTAATCGTCAGCATGTCCTTATGGGAGCCTTTTATTACCTCCCCGCTTAAAGCAGTACCTATTTATCTACTCACATTGCTGTTTCTGATCTGCTAGGTGGGCAGAAGCTTGGCTGACAGCAGGAGCTCACCCTGACCCAGGTTTGAACTGCCATCTGTCAACCTTTTGATCAGCAAGATTTTCTACAGCTGGCGGTTTAACCAGCTGTGCTAAAACCCAGCCTTTCCTTCCTTCCTTCTTTCGTTTTTTTCTTTCTGTTTTTCCCTTCCTTCCTTCCTTTATTATATTCTCAATATATAGTCTATTCTAAATACTAGATTCTACTCTCAATATTCTCAATATACAGTCTATTCTAAATACTAGATACTATTATAAATATTCTCAATATGTATTCTATTCTAAATACTATATCACAGATATTCTATTTATATTTTATGTATTTCATTGTTATACATTACTAGCTGTCCCCTGCCACGCGTTGCTGTGGCCCAGTCTGGTGACCTGGAAAATAAAGTAATGAGAAAGTGTTGGTTTCTAATATATGTAATTCCTTTCTGCTTGTGAGTAAACAGTATTTCTTGTTGTTTCTTTGTCAGTGTTGATGTGGAGAGTGTCTGGTTTGCCTACTCTGGAACATGCAACATGTAATTGTCCTTCTTTAGGGGTCCCTTTCAAATCTATGATACTATATCTCTGTGTGTGTGAATCATATCTATCTATCTATCTATATCTACGGCTGGATGGCTCTTTGTCAGGAGGACTTTGATTACGTTTTCTTGCCCTGGTGAAGGGAGTTGGACTGGGTGAGCTTAAGTATGGGGATTCTGTGTAGGAAGTTTGCCCCAATTCTGTTGTTGGTGGGGATTCAGAATGATCTTTGATTGTAAGCAAACTATAAATCCCAGTAACTACAACTCCCAAATGTCAAGGTCTATTTCCCCCAAACTTCATCTGTGTTCATATTTGGGCATACTGGGTATTCGTGCCAAGATTGGTCCAGATCCATCATTTTTTGAGTCCACAGTGCTCTCTGGATGTAGGTGAACTACAACTCCCAAAGTCAAGGTCAGTGCCCACCAAAGTCTTCAAGTGTTTTCTGTTGGTCATGGGAGTCTTGTGTGCCACATCTGATTCAATTCCATCCTTGGTGGAGTTCAGAATGCTCTTTGATGGTAGGTGAACTATAAATCCCAGCAACTACAACTCCCAAATGACAAAATCATTTTTTTTAGTGATGGTCATTCCTTGGGTTAGTAGGTGTCTTTTGGCAGCAATTCATCCAATGTTTTTTGAGTTATGTTAATCCCACAAACGAGCATTACATTTTTATTTATATAGACTAGCTTTCCCCTGCCACGTGTTGCTGTGGCCCAGTCTGTGTATGTGTTTTGTGTGCGTATATATTTGTGTATATATATGTGTGTGTGTGCGTATGTGTGTGTAGGTGTATATGTATGTGTGTGTATATATGTGTATATTTGTGTGTGCTAGCATATATATGTGTGTGTCTCTATGTATGTGTGCATGTGTAGATGTATATGAATTTATGTGTGTGTATATATATATATGGTTTATTTGGGGTGGGGGTTAAAGTCTGTTCTGCTGGTTTTTTGTGTGTTTTTAGGGGTGATGGACACTCGTTGGACTATTAGGTGTATTGTGTCAAAATTTCATATCAATCCATCCAGTGGTTTCTGAGTTATGTTTCTCCCACAAATGAACATTGCATATTATATATATATATATACACACACACACAATAGCCGTCCCCTGTCATGCGTTGCTGTGGCCCACATGGGGGTTCTGTGTGGGAGGTTTTGCCCAATTCTCTCGTTGGTGGGATTCAGAATGCTCTGTGATTGTAGGTGAACTATAAATCCCAGCAACTACAACTCCCAAATGTCAAGATTCTATTTCCCCCAAACTCCACCAGTGTTCACATTTGGACATATTGAGTATTTGTGTAGAGTTTGGTCCAGATCCATCATTGTTTGAGTCCACAGTGCTCTCTGGATGTAGGTGAACTACAACTCCAAAACCAAAGGACACTGCTCACCAAACCCTTCCAGTATTTTCTGTTGGTCATGGGAGAACTGTGTGCCAAGTTTGGTTCAATTCCATCATTGGTGGGGTTCAGAATGCTCTTTGATTGCAGGTGAACTATAAATCCCAGCAACTACAACTCCCAAATGTCAAGGTGTATTTTCCCCAAACTCCACCAGTGTTCACATTTGGGCATATTGAATCTTCATGTAGAATTTGGTCCAGATCCATCACATTTTGAGTCCACAGTGATCTCTGGATGTAGGTGAACTACAACTCCAAAATCAAAGGACACTGCCCACCAAACCCTTCCAGTATTTTCTGTTGGTCATGGGAGAACTGTGGGCCAAGTTTGGTTCAATTATTGTCGGTGGAGTTCAGAATGCTCTTTGATTGTAGGTGAACTATAAATCCCAGCAACTACAATCCCCTTTAAAGTGAAGGACATACATTGGGTTGTTAGGTGTCTTGTGTCCAAATTTGGTGTCAATTCGTTCAGTGGTTTTTGAGTTCTGTTAATCCCACAAACAAACATTTTTTATATATATATATATATATATATATATATATATATATATATATAATATGTTATTATATATATATGTTATTATATATTATAAATCTATTCTATTAGAAATATTACATTCTATTTACATATTATATCTATTATACGTTATATACATATTATGCTATACAATAATATATTATAAATATTATTATATATTACAAATATTACCATATATATATATATATATATATATATATATATATATGCAATGATTCCTTCCTTCCTTCCTTTCCCTCCCTCTGTCCTTCCTTCCTTTCCTTCAACAGTAACGAAAAGGTCCAAAGTCCATTGAATCAATCGGTGCTGCGCAGGTCAATACAATGCGCCTCGTCGCTCCAATGTAAACAAGAAGGGAACGAAGAAGAAGAAGAAGGAGGAATAGAGAGAGAGATATATCATATATTATATTAATCTCTATGTGAGGATGGTGTCCCGCTTGAGCCAGCTGCAAGGAGAGCTGCTGGGGGCGCTGCTGGGGTCGGGGGTCAGCAAGGAGGCCCTGGTGGCGGCCCTGGGATCAGGGGTCAATGCAGGGGAAGAGGAAGAGGAGGAAGAACAGGAGGAACAGGAAGAACAGGAAGAGGAAGAGGAAGAAGAAGACCACCTCCTGGAGGAGGCCCCCTTAAGGAAGCAGCTGGAGAGGCTCAGCCCACACCAGGCCGCCCAGCAGAAGGCCGTTGTCGACACCCTCCTACAGTAAGGATGGGATTATTATTATTATTATTATTATTATTATTATTTGAAACACAACAAGATTATTACGCAGCAAGCAGATCACTCTGCTGGCTGTTGTACTGGTTCACATGTCGGACACTTCCCAAGTGTCTAGGACTGTGTGATGTATTGGCGAATAATGCATGAGGATCCGAGTAGGGTGGCCTTTTGCAGCTGACGGTGATTTTGGGTTGTTTTTCGGGCTGTATGGCCATGTTCTAGAAGCATTCTCTCTTGACATTTCGCCTGCATCTATGGCAAGCTTCCTAAGAGATTGTGAGGTTGTGAGATGGTGATTTTGTCAGCGCCGGTTGTGTTTAAGTGCAGGCCAAGGTCTTTAGGCACGGCACCCAGTGTGCCGATCACCACTGGGACCACCTTGATTGGCTTGTGCCAAAGTCTTTGCAGTTCGATTTTTAAATCCTCATATTGTATCAGCTTTTCCAGTTGTTTCCCTTCAATCCTGCTGTCGCCTGGGATTGCAACATAGACGATTGTGAGGTCAAGAGTATTGTGCTCCAAAACTCTGTCAGTCTGAATTCAGACGTCCCAGAGTAGTTTGATGTGTTCATTTTCTGTAACTTTTTCAGGCTTGTGATCCCACCAGTTGTAGTCTTTCTGCACAATCTTCTTGCAGCAGCTGAGGATGTGATCTATTGTTTCATCCGCTCCCTTGCAGAGTCTACATTTGAGATCTGCCATTGACTTTTCAATTCTGGCTTTGATGGCATTGGTTCAAATGGCTTATTTTTGGGGTGCCAGAATCAGGCCCTCCGTCTCCTTTTTCCAAGTTCCATTTGTGAGGCACAGCCATGTTTTTTCTTTGTCAGTTTGGCTCTCAATTTTTCCCAGGAACTGTCCATGGAGAGCCTTCTTTGGCCAGCTTTCTCTTCTGCTCTGCATTGTCTTTTCACTGTATACCCTTTGTCTTTTGCACATCCATCCTTGGGGTCATCCATTTTTGAGGTCATCCATCCTTGGTAACGTCCATGGTGATACATTCTCAAGGTGGTCCTCCTTCAGGATCACCCATCCTTCAGGTCATCCACCTTCGGGGTCATCCATCTTGGTGTCATCCATCCTTGGGGTCATCCATCTTCAGGGTCATCCACCATCCTGGGTGTCATCCATCTTTGGGGTCCTCCATATTTAGCCTCATCCATGGGTCATCCACCTTCGGGGTTTTCCATACTTGGTCTTGTCCATGGGTGATCCATCCTTGGGGCCATCCATCCCTGGTCTCTTGCATGAATCACCCACCCTTGGGGTCATCCACTTTTGGAGTCCTCCATCCTTGGGCTCACCATGGGTCATCCATTCTTGGAGCCATCCACCTTCAGGGTCATCCATCCTTAGGGTCATCCATTCTTGGGGTCACCCACCTTTAGGGTCATCCACCCATGGTCTCTTTCATTAATCACCCATTCTTGGGGTCATCCACTTCTGGGGTCATCCACCTTTGGCATGCTCTATCCTTAGTCTCACCCATGGATCATACATCCTTGGGGTCATCCACCTTCAGGTTCATCTATCTTTGGGATCATCCACCTTCAGGGTCCTCCAGCAAAGGATCGCTGCCTCTTCCAGAAAATTATAAACATTGGAGATAATTTCAGGAGAAAATGGGCATGATAAGAAACAAAGATGGCAAGGTCCTAACAGAAGCTGAAGAGATCAAGAGAAGGTGGTGAGACTATACAGAAGATCTGTATAGGAAGGATAATAATATTGAGGATAGTTTTGACGGTGTGGTGAGTGAATTAGAACCAGACATCCTCAGGAGTGAGGTTGAATGGCCCTTAAGAAGCATTGCTAACAACAAGGCAGCAGGAGACGACGGGATCCCAGCTGAACTGTTTAAAATCTTAAAAGATGATGATGTCAAGGTGATGCATGCCATATGCCAGCAAATATGGAAAACACAAGAATGGCCATCAGACTGGAAAAAATCAACTTATATCCCCATACCAAAAAAGGGAAATGCGAAAGACTGCTCAAACTTCCGTACAGTGGCCCTTATTTCTCATGCCAGTAAGGTAATGCTCAAGATCCTGCAAGGAAGACTCCAGCAAGACATGGAGCGAGAGTTGCCAGATGTTCAAGCTGGGTTTAGAAAAGGCAGAGGAACCAGAGACCAAATTGCCAATATCCGCTGGATAATGGAGAAAGGCAGGGAGTTTCAGAAAAAACATCTATTTCTGCTTCATTGATTATTCTAAAGCCCTTGACTATGTGGATCATAATAAATTGTGGCAAGTTCTTGGTGGTATGGGCATACCAAGCACCTTGTCTCTCTCCTGAGGAATCTGTATAAGGACCAAGTAGCAACAGTAAGAACAGACCATGGAACAACAGACTGGTTCAAGATTGGGAAAGGAGTACGGCAGGGTTGTATACTCTCACCCGACCTATTCAATTTGTATGCTGAACACATCATGTGGTGTGCGGGGCTTGATGAATCCAAGGCAGGAGTTAAAATTGCTGGAAGGAACATTAACAACCTTAGATATGTGGATGATACCACTTTGATGGCCGAAAGCGAGGAGCTGAGGAGCCTTCTAACCAAGGTGAAGAAGAAAGGGCAAGAGCTGGGTTGCAGTTAAACATAAAAAAACAAAAAAGCAAGATTCCTTCTTGGGAGGAGAGCAATGACCAATCTGAATAAAACAGTGAAGAGTGGAGACATTACACTGGCAACAAAGATCCACATAGTCAGAGCAATGGTAATTCCCGTAGTAACCTATGGATGTGAGAGCTGGACCATAAGGAAGGCTGAGAGAAGGAAGATAGACACTTTTGAACTGTGGTGTTGGAGGAAAATTCTGAGAGTGCCTTGGACCGCAAGAAGATCCAACCAGTCCATACTTCAGGAAAATAAAGCCTGACTGCTCATTGGAGGGAAGGATATTAGAGGCAAAGATGAAGTACTTTGGCCACATCATGAGAAGACAGGAAAGCTTAGAGAAGACAAAGATGCTGGGGAAAATGGAAGGAAAAAGGAAGAGGGGCCGACCAAGGGCAAGATGGATGGATGGTATCCTTGAAGTGACTGGATTGACCTTGAAGGAGCTGGGGGTGGTGACGGCCGACAGGGAGCTCTGGCGTGGGCTAGTCCATGAGGTCACAAAGATTCAGAAGTGACTGAACGAATAAACAACAACAAGGTCATCCATCCTTGGTCTCACTCATGGGTCATCCATCCTTGTGGCCATCCACCTTCAGGGTTTTCTATTCTTGTTCTCATCCATGGATTATCCATCCTTTGTGTCATATATACTTGGGGTTATCCACCTTCAGGTTTATCCACCTTTGGAATCATCCATCCTTGGTCTCATCCATGGGTCATCCATCCTTGGGGTCATCCACTTTCAGGGTCATCCTCCTTTGGAATAATCCATTTTGGGGTCATCTATCCTTTGAGTCATCCACCTTCAGTGTAATCCACCTTTGGGTTCATCCATCCCTGGTCTCATCCATGGGCCATCCATGCTTAGGGTCATCCACCTTCAGGGCCATCCATCCTTGAGGTCATCCATCTTCAGGGTTTTCCATCCTTGATCTCATCTATGGGTCCTCCATCCTTGGGGTCATCCACCTTCAGGATCATCCACCTTCTTGGTTGTGCATCCTTGGTCTCACCCATGGGTAGTCCATTCTCAGAGGTGTCCTCCTCCAGGGTCATCCACTTTTAGGGTCCTCCATCCCTGGTGTCATCCATGGGTCATTCATTCTTGGGGTCATCCACCTTCAGGGTCATCCATCTTTGGGGTCATCCATCCTTGGTCTCGTCCATGAGTCAACCACCTTCAGGGTCATCTATCTTTGGGGTCATCTGCGCGGGCTCTGAGATCTACTGGTGAGGCTCTCCTCTCGGTCCCACCTCTGTCTCAAGCATGGTTGGTGAGGACGAGAGAGAGGGCCTTCTTGGTGGTGATCCCCAGCTTTGGAATGCCCTCCCAAGGGAGGTCAGGCTAGTCTACACTCTCCAAGCCTTTACGTACACAATTGAAGACATGGCTTTTTCGACAAGCCTTTGACTATGTTTAGAAACCCTTAATGAAGATATTCGAGAACCTAGAGTTTATTTCACCGTGCACTTTATGACTTATATTGATTGTTTTACATCTACAGGTATTGCTGCATTTTATTGATCTCAACCTGGGGGAGTTTATGATGTTTATTTATTTATTTACTTACTTACTTACTTTATTTATATACCGCTTTTCTCAGCCCTCAGGCGACTCAAGGCGGTGAACTACATCAATACAAAGCATCACAAACAAGTATAGGGCAATTAAAAATAATTGTAACATAAATCATTAAACATCCGTATAACAATCATTTTTGGGGTTTATGTTGGTTCTTATTGCTTTTGTGTGATTGTCTTTACACCTTTTTTATTTTGTGTGTTTGCACCTTGAGTGCTTTGTGAGCCGCCCCGAGTCCCTCCGGGAGATGGTGGCAGGGTATTAATAAAGATTATTATTATTATTATAATACCCTGTCGGAAGATGGCCAAAATGCTACTGGGGACGAGCAGAGGATAAGTTCAACTAGCCCCAGATGTGATGACGCAGCTAGCTCAAAGCCGAAAGGAAGGCTAGCGGCCGACGGTACTGGAGGTGAACGACGAATCCGATGCCCTAAAGATCAACACACCATAGGAACCTGGAATGTAAGATCTATGAGCCAGGGCAAATTGGATGTTGTTATTGGCGAGATGTCAAGACTAAAGATAGACATTCGGGGGGTCAGCGAACTGAAGTGGACTGGAATGGGCCACTTCACATCAGATGACCACCAGATCTACTACTGCGGACAAGAGGAACATCGAAGAAATGGAGTAGCCTTCATAATTAATAAGAAATTGCTAAAGCGGTGCTTGGATACAACCCAAAAAATGACAGAATGATCTCAATTCGAGTGCAAGGAAAGCCTTTCAACATTACAGTGATCCAAATATACGCCCCAACCACAGCTGT